CAAAATTCAAACTTGATCTATAACTGGCCATGATAAAAGTATATACCAAATATCAAATCAATATTTTCAAGCATGATGAAAAAAGTGTGGAAAACTGACTTGTCAGACTGAGGACGGGCGGACAGACAGATAGACGGATAAAGTGCATAACTAAATTCCCCTTCGGCTTTGCCGGTAGTGGACTAATAATCAACAGGTCAGGAAAAGGATAGATCGGCTAAGAAATAGGGAAATATATATATATATTTTGTTTTATGAATGTTTTGTGAAGAATATTGTATTGTTTGGGTAATAACATACGTGTTACATGTATATGCCCACTGGGGACCTAATTTGAAAATATAATATATTTGTATAGTATTATAATTGCTACGAGCAACAACATGGTTGCCACAAGTAGGGCAGGAACTGCCTACACGTCCGAACCACCTGTAGTTTCGCATTCCCAGTTTTTTTTTCAAAGGGTCTAGCGCATTTTCCGTTAAATTTTCAGTGTTGTATTTTGTGCTATTTTATTTTTCAATGTATGTGTGGTTTATATCGATAACAGGATTGTTCATAGTACCTTATTTGAACCTTGAACTTTTTTGTTTGAGTGTCATTGATGAGTCTTTTGTAGACGATCCGTGCGTCTGGCGTAAACAAATTATGAGCCTGGTATCTTTGATGAGTTTTTTAGTAACGTTTTAGGGTTTGATAATTTACACATACTAACGGTTTATGAATTTTGTGATGTTTAAGGGTTAGTCAAAAGACAATTAGCTTTTAGATGTTGCCTATCGGACTTGTTTTATCACTGTATCATAATAGGAGTGACACTGTTTACCCATCTGTATTACCTGAGTTCATTCGCCCTAGTTTTGTGTGGAGTTGGTGCCACTGTCTAATTTTACATATTCCACTATGTAATTTTACATGTTCCACTGCCTAATTTTACATGTGCCACTGTCTAATTTTACATGTGCCACTGTCTAATTTTACATGTGCCACTGTCTAATTTTACAAGTTCCATGGTTTTAGTTTACATGTTTCATTGTGTAATTTTACATGTATCACTGTGTAATTCTACAAGTTCCACTTTGTTATTTAACCTGGTTTACTGTGTTATTTAACATATTCCACTGTGTAATGTTAAATATTCCTTTGTGTAATTTTATATGTTCCACTAAGGTACCTAACAGAACCTTTTTGTTTTAGAGTGCAGAAGACACCAGCATAAATCAGTCTCAAAAGACCATTTTAACCCCTCCCTCGCTCCCCCCACAATATGTTCAGTTATCTTTTGTACATATAAAGCTATATGGCACATGACAAAATTTGACACAGAAACTGCTTAATGGGAGATAACCAAAGCTTTATATCACACAATTTTTAAATGTTTTTTTCTCTCTCCATATTTTATTCTGTATGTAGTGTTATGAATAACCTATGTACTGTCATGTTTGTAATCATGCCATTTAATGGTTAACTACAATTACTGTATTGAGTTGTATACACTGTAATGATTTTTGTTTTTTGTTGAAACATGGCAGATCTATGATAGCAACACATTGTGTTAGATTAACTCATATGTTGCATTGTCAGTTAAATGCTTTCGATTTATGAGTTAGAATGTCCCTCTTGTATCTCTCGCCCCTCTTTGTACTCTATATGTTCTTTTATTTTATGGGATCATTTTGTTGCTGTCAAATTGACATAAGTTTGATAACTGCTTGCTTAGTACTGAATTTCATAATGAGATTATATTTGTCTAACTTAAAAAGCTATGCTTTAAAGAGCTCATTGAGGCTTCATAAATTGTAAAAAATCTAAATCAAACACAACTGCCCATATATTGAAATATGGGCAAAAATGTTGCAGCTTCAAAACCAGTTTAGGATATGGATTTAGTAATTGAAGATGATACTATGACTGCCTACATGAAATAAATACTGTATACAGATTAAACCAAGTTTCTATTTATTTACATATAGTTCAAGCATACAATTTGGTTAGGTTATTCACATATAAATCTATGATACACAAAACAGACGTGATGTTTATTTGTTTTTTTTTATTTACACATATAAAGCTTAAACACAACAGATGACATATAATAATCAAGCATTCATTAAAAAAAACCCATATATATTTAAACTTTTATTTTGAAAAGATTTATCAATAATTAACAAAACTACAAAAACACAGATTTGTGACCGTATAAAGAATTAATGTAATTGAATGATAAAGCTTGAAATAAGTAGTAAAGGTATGAACGGAAATCAGTAAAAAAAAATTAGCAGTAATCTATTCTTCACAGAAATTGATTCAACTAAAATGCTGCCTTCTAAAATTAAATACTGTAATTCAGAAATTATTGTTAGGTTTTCATTAATGTGAATAATTCAACTGGGTGAGTATCGCAATTATAAAAACTCACAATCTGCTATCTGATATATATATCTATATGCAGATTTTCATGAAATCGCAAAAAATAAATCTTGCATTGTTGTTCTTTATTAAACAAGAGGCTCTCAAGAGCCTGAATCGCTCACTTGTTATTTTTTTGGCTTAAATCTTTCATCAATGATTATTTTTGCTTTTTACCCATATGTTCCATTTTAGCCATAGTGTATATGTTTCTTGCTGTTTATAGTTTATCTTTATCTTCAATAATATTCAAGATAATTACCAAAAACTGCAAAATTTCCTTAAAACAACCAATTTAGTGGCAGCAACCCAACAATGGGTTGTTCGGTGTGTCTGAAAATTTCAGGGCTGATAGATCTTGACCTTTTGAACATTTTTACCCAAGGTCAGATTTGCTCTAAATGCTTTAGCTTCTGAGATATGAGCCAAAAACGGCATTTCACCCCTATGTTCTATTTTTAGCCATGGCAGCCATGTTTGTTGATGGATCAAAATTTCGGATACAATTCATAAACTAGATTCCTAAAGGAACATTCATTCAAAGTTAAGAAGTATTAGGCACAATAGTTTCAGAAGAGAAGATTTTTAAATGTTAGCAAACTTGATGAACACATTGCGTAAAATTGTCTTTAAAGGGCAATAACTCCTTAAGGGGTCAATTGACAAATTTGGTCATTTAACTTTTCTGTAGATCTTACTTTGCTGAACATTATTGCTGTTTACAGTTTATATCTATCTATAATAATATTCAAGATAATAATAAACTGTTATCACAGAGATATGTCTCGCCTTTTTGTAATTTTGATAATGCAAATGTTGAAATTATAAAATAGCAACACTTTAACATGTAAGTTATGTAAATATTCAAAGTCGATGAACCATGACTGAAGGTATATGGCTAAACAATCTCCATGGAATGAGATGTGCAAATGCTAATACAACTGCATACCAAATACCATTGACTTATTATAAGTCTTTCCCTTTAAACAAACCTAAACACAAACATTAACTTGTAAACCATGTAAAAGTTTCAAAGTCAATGAACCATGATCAGGGGTGGCCAAATAATCTCCATGGTAATGAGATATGCCAATGCTTATACAACTGAACACCAATTAACATTGACCTACCACTAATGGTTCCCCATAAATTGACCTAATCACAAACTAATACATGTAAACTATGAAAAGTTTCAAAGTCAATAGACCTTGACTGAGGGGGCGGGGCCAAATAATCTCCATGGTAATGAGATATGCCAATGCTTATACAACTGCATACCAAATATCATTGACCTACCACTAGTGGTTCCCCATAAATTGACCTAATCACAAACTAATACATGTAAACTACGAAAAGTTTCAAAGTCAATAGACCTTGACTGAGGGGGCAGGGCCAAATAATCTCCATGGTAATGAGATATGCCAATGCTTATACAACTGCATACCAAATATCATTGACCTACCACTAGTGGTTCCCCATAAACTGACCAAATCACAAACTGATACATGTAAACTAAGCAAAGTTTCAGTCAATAGACCTTGACTGAGGGGGCGGGGCCAAATAATCTCCATGGTAATGAGATGTGCCAATGCTAATACAACTGCATACCAAACATTATTGACCTACCACTAGTGGTTCACCATGAACTAGACCTAATCACAAACTAATACATTGTTGACGCCGGAAACAGCATACCTATGTCTCGCTTTTTGACTCCGTCAAGGCGAGACAACAAAAAACTGCAAAATTTCCTTAAAACTACCAATTTAGTGACAGCAACCCAACAATGAGTTGTTTGATTCGTCTGAAAATTTCAGGGCTGATAGATCTTGACCAATTGAACAATTTTACCCCATGTCAGATTTGCTCTAAAAGCTTTAGTTTTTGAGATATAAGCAAAAAACTGCATTTGACCCCTATGTTCTATTTTTAGCCATGGCAGCCATGTTTGTTGATGGATCAAATCTTCGGATACAATTTATAAACTAGATACCATAAGGAACATTGAGTTAAAATTTGAAGGTATTTAGCCCAGTAGTTTCAGAGGAGAAGATTTTTGAAATACTTTACGACGACCATTACGACAGACGAAGGACGCCAAGTGATGGCATAAGTACACATGGGGCCCTTTGGGCCCCGGTGAGCTAAAAATTGCAATATTAAATATATGCAATAATTTCTGAATTTACAGTAGTATATTCAATTAATAAAGAGCTGCACCATGAGTGCATGATATGCACGTCGCTTTTTCAATGAATAAAGTTCCATTACCCTCAATACCATATTAGAAATTTATAAAAAACTAAAAGGAGGTTATTTTAATAGATGTAAATCAGTCACCAAAGTTTCATGAAAACTGCTCAAAGCATCTTTGAGTTATTGTCCGAAAACGGGAAAATCACCCCTTTTTAAAAAATTTAATCCTATAACTAGGAAACGTAAAATCTAAAATTTATAAAAATCGAAAGGGAGCTTCATACGTCACTAGATTCAAACAATTCAATAAGTTTTATAAAAATTGGTTAAAGCATTTTTGGGTTATTGTCCGACATGTTGATGTTGGATGGACTGACAGACGCAGGGCTATTTGTCCCGTAAACAGGCTTATAAAAAGAAAACATGACCTCTAGTTGTTCTTTTGGATCTAATTTTTTATTGATCTTTTCTACACTTTCTTTTAATTTATTGTATCAATGAGATCAAATAACCTGTACTGATTTTTTTAAAACAAATTTGATATCTATAAATTGAAAAAGAAACAACTACTCTTCCTATGCACTTAATCTGATATAAAAAAAATCTTAAATTTCTGTATAAAGGGTGAACCATATCTCTGGATCCCAGATCAATGCATAATTATATTACAAACTACTGTTTTATATCATTTCCCAACATTTATCTTCACATTTATTTTGATGTTGTTAGACTTGCTGCCTTCTTTGTCTGTCAATATCATATTTCATCACATGTTTTCCAGCTGAAAAATACAGAAAAATGAATACTTTCACTTCAAGAGAATAAAACAAAGATAACTTTCACTAATGGGATATCGAAGGGGGAAAAACAAGCTGAAAATATGACAGTCAGAAAAACCAGCAGACATGCCAACTTTCCATCTTTATGGGGATATCCCCCATGACAGGTGGTTTTTTCCATCTTTATGAGGGATATCCCCCCATGACAGGTGGTGACCTCCTCCTTATTATACTTAATTATTTAGGGCTATTCCATTAAAATGTATGTGGGAGGGTAGGAAGGGAAGTTTAATTATTGAATGTGGGTCATGGGTCTTTTTTCAGTATGTGTCTATTACCATTATGCAAAATTATCTAAAAAATTTGTAAGGGTTCCGCGGAACCCAGTGTCTCGCCTACTTTTGCTGTTAATCGCAGGCTCAACAAAATAAGGAAAAAAATTAATAAAAATATTCCTCTCTATACTATCTTTTGATTGTAAGTAGCTTCTGTCCAAGTTTGGTAAAAATCCAGGATAGTTTATGAATCTAATAAATGTTTAAAAAACTTAAACTGCAGACTGTATGTAATATTAACTGGAAGAAAAACTAAGTCCATTTATAAGTAAAATACGGAAAAAATGGAACAAAATTTTAACAAAATTTCCTTCTAGATACTAGCTTTTAATCATAAACAAGCTTCTGTCCAAGTTTGGTACAAATCCAGGATAGTTTAAGAAAGTTGTAGAAATTTAAAAAAATTTAACCACAGAGCGAATGTAATGTTAACTGGCAGAAAAACTAAGTCCATTTATAAGTAAAATACGGAAAAGATGGAAATTTTTTTTTACAAAATTTACTTCTGGATACTATCTTATGATCATAAACAAGCCTCTTTCCAAGTTTGGTAGAAATCCAGGATAGTTTAAGAAAGTTATTAAAATTTCAAAAACTTTAACCACAGAGTGAATGCAATGTTTCCTGGCAGAAAAACTAAGTCCATATATAAGTAAAATATGGAAAAAAATGGATTTTTTTTTTACAAAATTTACTTTTGAATATTTATCTTATGATCATAAACAAGCTTCTATCCAAGTTTGGTAGAAATCCAGGATAGTTTCAGAAAGTTATTAAAATTTCAAAAACTTTAACCACAGAGTGAATATTTGTGGACGCTGATGACGACGACGCCGACAGAATGTAGGATCGCTATGTCTCGCTTTTTCGACAAAAGTCGAAGGCTCGACAAAAATGGTTCTTGGTTGTAGGGATATTTTGAAAGTCCCTTCCTACCCTCCCACATACATTTTAATGGAATACCCCTTAGACAATACTTTAAAAAAGGCATTCTTATTAATTCTTATTAATTTAGTATAAATGACATGTATAGGTATGCATTAGGTCCTCATGTGATTAAAATCCCCCATGAAAAGTTTGAAAAGTTGGCAGGTATGAACCAGGATTTATCCTAAAGGGATGGCACTAGATAATTTATAATGTTATAACCATAATATTGAATTAGATCAGATCAAAAGTAGAATTAGTTTCAGTTACATTATCATTAACAGTTGAAGAATTGCTTTCTCCTCCATTTTCTGTAAACTTTATCCATTCCATTCTAACACACTAAAATCTCTTTTCTTTCTTTCATGAATCTCACATCCAATCAGATTCAATGTAATAGTTTCACTCTCTCTTACCATCCAATTAAACAGACTGTAATATCGCATACATACCATGTCTTCTGCATCATCATCAGCAGGTGTTTCTTCTGTCTTTGGTTTGTCTTCTTCTTCATCTTCTGTGAATTTCTTCCCTTCTTCCACACTGACATCACTTTCTTCACTCTCAAGTTTGGTTATTAAGGAAAGATTTTCTACAATATTGGAAATATTTCTTTAAATTTTATACAATATATCATTATCATAAAATATAAAATTCATTAATATTATTCTTTGAGTGCTGTTTCTTTCAATTACTTTTTTTCAATTTTATTAGACATTGTAAATTCATTATTAATTGGCTATTTTAGTGGATTTCATGGGTTGAAGTTTGAATGATATGCAAAATACACAAATTTCCTTTAGGACTGTACGTAGAATTGATAAAAGAAAAATTCAAGTATGTATGAAAATGCATTCATCATCAATCCATAAAAAATAATTTCCATAATATACGAATTCTCAGTGAGTTGAAATGATTATTGAAACAATGAGATATAAACTTAGTCAGCTGTACTTGGTGAAGCAATTTAACTTCTGTACAATATATTGAAGAATAGCGACTTACCTGTGACTATTTCATCCCAGAAATCCCTTCTTCCTTTCTGTATTAATGTGTCTTTAAACTGTTTCAAGTACATATTAAAGGATTTAGCTTCCATTTTCTACAAAATACAATACAAATTTTAGAGGTTTTCTCCCATCAAAAGACATATTTTCTATATTGTATAATTTTTCAATTGAGAAGCCAGTTAAATGATGGTTTTTACTTTTCTTTATAGGTGTTATATACCTATCTATCTTATTGTATACAAATTTATTATTGACAAGTCCAACATTATTATAAACTAATGTGTAAATTCCCATCCAATCTTTTCAGAATATTATATTCAGGGTTTTTCATTCAATCATAAAGAGAAACAGATGTCTTCCCTTGACTCATTTAATTTTAGAATGCAAGAAATTCTAAAGCAATGCCCTATTGTACAGTTACTATAAAGAACACATTTTGGCAAAAATATTGGAAACTGAAATAATTTTACAATTTGGTATATTATTGGTAGACTTAAGGTATTTTTCAGAAACATATGGTGAGTATCATGGCCACTCTTGGAAAATTCATTTTTTTTATTCTTTCTTAAATTGCCGTATTTATCATTAAAATAAATGACATGCCCATTTATTGGAGTGTCTCTGTTTGAAATAATGATCATGTTATATTACACAACAATACAGATAAAAATATATAACAAGAGCGCACACACTGAAATGTCTTGCCTGTTTCACTTATTATTGAATTCATGCTGAAGGTCTGTAATATGAAAGTTTTATTACAAGTATCACATAAACTCAAGATTTTTAAAATTGATTCACAGTCAGATGAACCATCCAAGACAAACATGTACACCTAATATAGTGGTCCTATCGCTAACAGTACCTAAGAAACAGATCAAACCACAAAATCTTAACAATGAATAATGAAACATGAAATGAGGTCAAGGTCATATGAACCCTGTCAGACTATAGATGATAGTTGAGGCAATGTGTATAATGACAACTGTTCAGCTATTACATTTAATACACAAGTAACTTATTTCCCCCCAAGGCGACGTCGACAATGGACAAGTACAATAGTACAGATGTTATGTTCCAGCGACAATCTCAACACAGACAGACATATACACCGTACAATCATTCCATACACCAACTATAGTTGACCTATTTCTTATAGTATATGATAAACTGACAAAATTAGGATAACTAATAATTGACAATTGAACCATGAAAATGAGGTCAAGGTATTATGAACCCTGCCAAACAGACATGTATACCTTTCAGTCATTCCATACACCAAATATAATCGACCTATAGCTTATAATATCTGAAAAATAGATCAAACCACAAAACCTAAACATTGTCCAATGAACCATGAAAATGAGGTCAAGGTAAGATGAAACCTGCCAGACAGACATGTTCACCTAACAATCATTCCATACACCAAATATAGTTGACCTAATGCTTATCGTATCTGAGATAAAGACTTTACGACTTATCTTTTACCTTGATCACTGATCCATGAAATGAAGTTGAGGTCAGTTGAACTCTGTCTGACGAACATGTAGGCATTGCAAGGAACCCATATACCAAATACAGTTATCCTCATAATAAAAGAGTATTTCTTTTGACAAAAACACTATTTTTTTTTTCAAGCAGCAATTGAACCATGAAAATGAGGTCAAGGACAATGGACATATGCCAGACGTAAACTTTGTAACATAAGGTATCTGTATACAAGGTATGAAGCATCCAGGTCTTCTACCTTTTGAAATATAAAGCTTTATACAAATAGTTCATGCCATCACCACCAGATTGTAATACCTATGTCTCGCTTTCTATGACAAAATTCTGCCACTTTCATTGCAGGCAAGACAAGAATGGAGAAACTAACACATATAACATGGGGAGAAGATACAATGAGACGAAGGAATTGTAATGAAAAATTCCAGGAGAGCTTTTGGGATATAGTGTGGCTAAAAATCTTCATCAAACAAAGTAAATAATCTTTAGTTATTTAACATCATTCTATTTTTTTAACAAGTGAATTATGGGTAAATTCAATGATTGTACACCAAAATAAATACAATTTATTAACCAATGTTATTTTAGTGTATGTTTTGGAATTTTATGTATTAAATTCTGAAACAGTGAAGAAATTGATATGAATTTTCTTATATCCCATAGTCACAATGAGAATTTAACATCGGTGAAATCTAACAAAACTCTATTGTGTTGTAGTGAAGGGGACAAAACATTTGTTACATCATTACCAACCTTAATACACTGTTCCCTCAAGGTCTTCAAGCAATCAATGGCTTTAGGGTAGAACTGAACTCCAAAGGAACACTAACCTTAATACACTGTGCTCATAATGTCTTCAAGCAATCAATGGCTTTAGGGTATAACTGAGCTCCAAGGGAACACTAACCTCAATACACTGTTCTCTCAATGTCTTCAAGCAATCAATGGCTTTAGGGTAGAACTGAGCTCCAAAGGAACACTAACCTTATTACACTGTTCCCTCAAGGTCTTCAAGCAATCAATGGCTTTAAGGTAGAACTGAACTCCAAAGGAACACTAACCTTAATACACTGTTCCCTCAAGGTCTTCAAGCAATCAATGGCTTTAGGGTAGAACTGAACTCCAAAGGAACACTAACCTTAATACACTGTTCCCTCAAGGTCTTCAAGCAATCAATGGCTTTAGGGTAGAACTGAACTCCAAAGGAACACTAACCTTAATACACTGTTCCCTCAATGTCTTCAAGCAATCAATGGCTTTAGGGTAGAACTGAACTCCAAAGGAACACTAACCTTAATACACTGTGCTCATAATGTCTTCAAGCAATCAATGGCTTTAGGGTATAACTGAGCTCCAAGGGAACACTAACCTCAATACACTGTTCTCTCAATGTCTTCAAGCAATCAATGGCTTTAGGGTAGAACTGAGCTCCAAAGGAACACTAACCTTAATACACTGTTCCCTCAAGGTCTTCAAGCAATCAATGGCTTTAGGGTAGAACTGAACTCCAAAGGAACACTAACCTTAATACACTGTGCTCATAATGTCTTCAAGCAATCAATGGCTTTAGGGTATAACTGAGCTCCAAGGGAACACTAACCTCAATACACTGTTCTCTCAATGTCTTCAAGCAATCAATGGCTTTAGGGTAGAACTGAGCTCCAAAGGAACACTAACCTTATTACACTGTTCCCTCAAGGTCTTCAAGCAATCAATGGCTTTAGGGTAGAACTGAACTCCAAAGGAACACTAACCTTAATACACTGTTCCCTCAAGGTCTTCAAGCAATCAATGGCTTTAGGGTAGAACTGAACTCCAAAGGAACACTAACCTTAATACACTGTTCCCTCAAGGTCTTCAAGCAATCAATGGCTTTAGGGTAGAACTGAGCACGTAAGGAACACTAACCTTAATACACTGTTCCCTCAATGTCTTCAAGCAATCAATGGCTTTAGGGTAGAACTGAGCTCCAAAGGAATCCATTACTATTTGTTGTATTCTCTTCTGCATCTGTTTACTAGCTGTAATATAATGTATACATTACTGTGAAGATTTATAGACTACACTCGATGGTAGGTAGAATACAAATCAGTCAGCATAGCTAAAACATCGCTTATCTGACGTGATGATGATAATTATAATGGATGAATTCTGAACAAATTAATCATTTATTCAGGACAAGAACATGCTATGGTGGAGCAGGATCTGCAGGGATCTCCATGACCTGTTTTATGATGGCGCACCACCATCTTTAAATTGCTTCTGCCACGGTCAAATGACCCCCGCCATCGTTAAATTATCTTCCACCATCGTCAAATGATCCCAAACATTGTCAAAATTTATTTTCGTTTCTCTGGCCGCGGCCATTTTTATTAGCAATTATAATCAATTGCATGTTATTGCATAACCCATAGGCTTTTTGTATTATAATCCAAAGGGTCCTCCTTGTTACAGTTTAAAAGCCCTGAGGGATAACAGGCTAAAGATCACTAATCACTTGTACAGGTAGATCGACATAACTGACAGGAGAACACTTGACCAAGAAAGACAATTGATTGCATTATTTAATTTCGTTTCAGCAAATGCTAATGAAAATTTTGATTAGAAAATAAATTTTAATCCAGTTACAAAGAAGAACACGTGCTTTTATATTGACTTACGCAATCCGCATCCCATTTTTTAAACGAGTACCAAATAAGATGTAAAACAGAACATAATCTCATTCCAAATAACACGAGTCAAGCAATTATCAATATTGAATCACTTTAAGAGTTTAAAAGTAAATACATGAATATTAACTGCAACTTGATAATCTGAAGAAATTTCGTATCGTAGTTCCGAAATCATTTCGTAGTTTACAATCAAATTGATACATCCGGTTTTCCTGTTTACATTCAGAATAGAAAGATGCATGTTGCATAGTACATTACTATGAAATTTGCTATTTAAAGTCATTAAAACCTTAAAAGTTGTAAACGTTTGCCCTCCAAAACTTTCTTCAGCGTTTTACAAAGCGGGTATGAAACTTCTTGTCGTTGATGCTGCAAGCTGTTGATACCGGTTCATGACTTGACAGTGAAAACAAGATCCCCCAGGCCCAGATTTTTAAGCCCAATATCATTACCAAATAGCAGGAAAACGACGTGGGAACCTTTTAGTTTAGGACAGCTTGTGGTCATTCTTGACTAAGTGGAGGCCATGCAAACTTGGTATTGGAATTGTTACTAATGACAATTATTGAAAATATTAGTAATTTTATAAGGAAATAAATGTAATAAGCAATATATCAGCCTACGCACCATTCCTTATACATGGAAATGAATAAATGAAATACTTTCGATCACGCCACACAGTACACGCAGGATTTTGTAATGGTGAAAGTTCCTCCATCGTTAAATTTTCATCCATGGAGATCCCTGGATCTACATATCCTTCTGGAGCACCTATGATCACTCTTAGTTTTTGGTGGTGTTTGCCAGTCTTTAGTTTTCTATGTTGTGTTTTCTAGACTATTTGATGTTTTGTGGTTTTCTCTTTTTGCCATGGTATGCCAGTTTGTCTTTGATTTTACATGAGCTTGAATGTACCTTTGGTATCTTCCGCCTTTCTTTTATATGCTTTGATATAAACTCGGCTTTGTACTAGATCTAAACCATATGCCAGATTTTTATACATTAAGAGATACAATCAGATAAATATGTGTAAAATATAACAATACATTTAAAATGCATTGATATAAAAAAAGCAATTTCTTGTAATTAGATATAAGAAGATGTGGTATGAGTGCCATTGAGACAACTCCCATCCAAGTCACAATTTGTAAAAGTAAATCATTATAGATCAAAGTACGGCCTTCAACACAGAGCCTTGGCTCACACCGAACTGCAAGCTATAAAGGGCCCCAAAAATGACTAGTGTAAAACCATTCAAACAAGAAAACCAATAGTCTAATCTATATAAATAACTAGAAACGAGAAACACTTATGAACCACATCAACAAACAACAACCACTGAAAAACAGGTTCCTGACAGGTGCAAACAAATGTATTTTTCCACCAAATTTTGTGAATATTTGTGAATATTCAGTAGTTTATCTGAATACACAATCCATTTTACCATATGCAAAGATGGCAAATGTCATTGTCCCGTATATATATACAGTATGGGTCATAGAACACAAGAGTGCACATGCTGAAATGTCTCGCCTTCTTTACTAATCATTGATATTATATTGATAGTCCTAAATATAAAGCTTTATTACAACTGTCACATAAACTTAACATATACCAAGTAAACTAAACATTGACCAATGAACCATGAAAATGAGGTCAAGGTCAGATGAACCATGCTAGGCAGGCATGTACAGCTAACAATTCTTCCATACAACTAATATGGTTGACCTATTGCTTATAGTTTAAGAAAAACAGACCAAAACACAAAAACTTAACACTGAGCAATGAACCTTGAAAATGAGGTCAAGGTCAAATAAAACCTGGGTGACTGACATATAGATCATAAAATATTTCCATACACCAAATGTAGTTGAACTATTGCATATAGTATTAGAAAAAAAGATCAAAACTCAAAAACTTAACTTTGACCACTGAACCATGAAAATGAGGTCAAGGTCAGATGACACCTGCCAGCTAGACATGTACACCTTACAATCATTCCATACACCAAATATTGTAGACCTATTGCATACAGTATAAGAAAAACAGACCAAAACACAAAAATTTAACTATAACCACTGAACCATGAAAATGAGGTCAAGGTCAGATGACACCTGCCAGCTAGACATGTACACCTTACAATCATTCCATACACCAAATATTGTAGACCTATTGCATACAGTATAAGAAAAACAGACCAAAACACAAAAACTCAACTATAACCACTGAACCATGAAAATGAGGTCAAGGTCAGATGACACTTGCCAGCTAGACATGTACACCTTACAATCCTTCCATACACCAAATATAGAAGACCTATTGCATACAGTATAAGAAAAACAGACCAAAACACAAAAACTTAACTATAACCACTGAACCATGAAAATGAGGTCAAGGTCAGATGACACCTGCCAGTTGGACATGTACACCTTACAGTCCTTCCATACACCGAATATACTAGACCTATTGCTTATAGTATCTGAGATATGGACTTGACCACCAAAACTTAACCTTGTTCACTGATCCATGAAATGAAGTCGAGGTCAAGTGAAAACTGTCTGACGGGCATGATGACCTTGCAAGGTACGCACATACCAAATATAGTTATCCTATTACTTATATTAAGAGAGAATTTAACATTACAAAAAATCTGAACTTTTTTTTCAAGTAGTCACTGAACCATGAAAATGAGGTCAAGGACATTGGACATGTGACTGACGGAAACTTCGTAACATGAGGCATCCATATACAAAGTATGAAGCATCCAGGTCTTCCACCCTCTAAAATATAAAGCTTTTAAGAAGTGAGCTAACGCCGCCACCGCCACCGGATCACTATCCCTATGTCGAGCTTTCTGCGACAAAAGTCGCAGGCTCGACAAAAACTATGGTGACCCATGTCTGTTGCCAATGTTTGATGAAACAAAGAGTGTTAAATTTTAGCCAAAAAGTTTGTCAAAATTATGATTTTACTTCATAAGAGAGCACAATTATGACATTAGAAATGTTCTAATACAGCAGAGCTTGCTGTTTTTGTATTTATCAGATATTTTTACATATTTTGTCATCAAATGTGAAGTAAAATTTTACTGAATTATAGGGCCATTATTGACCTGTAGTGAACCTGTTCCTTTTACATGAAGTCATATCAATTTAATTACTACAAAACACCAGCCTTATCAGGGAGTGGTATTGTTTGAAATAGTATCCAGGAGATAAATAAAACTGTAAGACCTTCAACTAACCTTCATCAAATTTATCCACATCTTTTCTGTTGACCAATGCCAGATAATCTTCTACAGGTGTGACCGTCCCTACCTGCAATAATAGATAGTTTGTATTCAAGCATTTATTAACCATAGAAATACAGCAAACATATATTTTACCTTATACATACCATTACCATGTCAGTATTCAATTAATTAAGATATACACTTTCATTATACAGACAAAGGTTTAGACAGACCATTGAGTAAGAGCAGAATTTTTGACAGAAAAAAGTCTCAGGATTTTTCATTTGAAATGAGTGTAAAATTGCATGATAAGAGTAGTGGAAATAATAATAACCAGCTGCGCCATGATCACATGATACGCCCGTCACGTTTTCAAAGAATAAAGTTCAATAACTTCTCAATGTTATATCAGAAATTTATAAAAAACTAAAGGGAGGTTATCTTAACAGATATAAATAAGTCGACAAAGTTTAATGAAAACTGCTAAAAGCATTTTTGAGTTATTGTCCGAAAACTGAAGAGTCACCCTTTTTTTAATGAATAAAACCCCAAAACTCGGAAACGTAAAATCTAAAATTTATAAAAATCGAAAAGGAGCTCATGTCAATAGCTATAAACAATTCACCAAAGTTTCTTGCAAATTGCTGAAAGAGTTCATGAGTTCTTGTCCAAAAACTGGAAAATCCCCTTTTTTTAATGAAGAAAACCCCAAAACTCGGAAATGTAAAATCTAAAATTTATTTAAAACGAAAGGGAGCTCATGTCAATAGATATTAACAATTCACCAAAGTTTCATGCAAATTGGTTAAAGCGTTTTTGAGTTAATGTCCGACATGTTGACGATGGACGGACTGACGGACGGACGGACGGACAGAGGTATGCCATAATACGTCCCGTAAACGGGCGTATAAAAATTTGAAAAGATTTTTGCCAGAAGGGATATATATAAAAGTAAAATCTTCTTAAAAATCTTTTGAAAAATATAGAGGGTGCTGGACAAAATGTTTTAATGCACAGAGTAGATAAAAAACCCAACATTTTATAGCTAATTGTTGAAGGCCCTACAGTGACCTATTGATGCTTATTCATGTCATTTGGACTCTGTCTCATTGACAATCATATCAAATCTCCTTATTTTTAGATAATTTTGTATAGGGTTAGAAAATATATTGAAAAGTTGATAATGTGCACCACAAATATCCTTTAAAATTCTTTTCAAAATTCTCCTTGTAGTTACCAACAAAAATAAGTACATGTGGCCTATATTGTTTAACCCAAGGATTTTAATAGATTCATTGGACTTCCCTATCCTATGAATAGAATTGTTTAACTCAAATGCTAAAATGAGGTCAAGGGATATTTTATGACATTTAAACTGTATATAGAATGAAGTCTATATTCATACATTTCCCTTCTTTGTGCCCAAGGTTTATTATAAGGCCTTTAGTAACTATCATTTCCAGTAAAACTATGGTTGATGGGGAAAATTATTTTAACTTTATTCCCATTGCATGATTCAGTTTATAACAAGAGTGCACACGCTGAAATGTCTCGCCTTCTTTACTAATCATTGATATTATGTTGATAGTCCTAAATATAAAGCTTTATTACAACTGTCACATAAACTTAACATTAACCAAGTAAACTAAACATTGACCAATGAACCATGAAAATGAGGTCAAGGTCAGATGAACCATGCTAGGCAGGCATGTACAGCTAACAATTCTTCCATACAACAAATATAGTTGACCTATTGCTTATAGTTTAAGAAAAACAGACGAAAACACAAAAACTTAACACTGAGCAATGAACCTTGAAAATGAGGTCAAGGTCAAATAAAACCTGCGTGACTGACATATAGATCATAAAATATTTCCATACACCAAATATAGTTGAACTATTGCATATAGTATTAGAAAAAAAGACCAAAACTCAAAAACTTAACTTTGACCACTGAACCATGAAAATGAGGTCAAGGTAAGATGACACCTGCCAGCTAGACATGTACACCTTACAATCATTCCATACACCAAATATAGCTGACCTATTGCATGCAGTATTAGAAAGAAAGACCAAAACTCAAAAACTTAACTTTGACCACTGAACCATGAAAATGAGGTCAAGGTCAGATGACACCTGCCAGCTAGACATGTACACCTTACAATCATTCCATACACCAAATATAGTAGACCTATTGCATACAGTATAAGAAAAACAGACCAAAACACAAAAACTTAACTATAACCACTGAACCATGAAAATGAGGTCAAGGTCAGATGACACCTGCCAGTTGGACATGTACACCTTACAGTCCTTCCATACACCAAATATACTAGACCTATTGCTTATAGTATCTGAGATATGGACTTGACCATGAAAACTTAACCTTGTTCACTGATCCATGAAATGAGGTCGAGGTCAAGTGAAAACTGTCTGACGGGCATGAGGACCTTGCAAGGTACGCACATACCAAATTTAGTTATCCTATTACTTATTATAAGAGAGAATTTAACATTACAAAAAATCTGAACTTTTTTTTCAAGTAGTCACTGAACCATGAAAATGAGGTCAAGGACATTGGACATGTGACTGACGGAAACTTTGTAACATGAGGCATCCATATACAAAGTATGAAGCATCCAGGTCTTCCATCTTCTAAAATATAAAGCTTTTAAGAAGTTAGCTAACGCCGCCGCCGCCGCCGCCGGATCGCTATCCCTATGTCGAGCTTTCTGCGACAAAAGTCGCAGGCTCGACAAAAATGAATGATATTATTATGTTTTATTAACTTTTATGTAAAAATAAGATGTGCAATAATTGCCTATGAGACAGCTCTCCACCAGAGACCAAATGACAGAGAAGTTGACAACTATAGGTCACGGTACGGCCTTCAACAATGAGCAAAAAAATATTTTATACATGAATATAGACTAATTTAGTTCTTACTGGTTATGATATTGATATTGGAAGTTAATTCTAATTTCTGTGTATAAAAAAAGACTGAAACATATGTTATAATGATTGCATTTGACATTTGATGGGGTTAAGATTTACCTCCGTAACTTGGTGTATCCAAATACACCACATGATTTCAAATTTAAATTTTTTGGAGAAATAAAATGTCATCAAAGATAGCAGCTTTATAATTTGGTATCTATGATGAGTTTATATGTACTCAACACCTGTTTGGTCTACAAAAGACTCATCAGTAATGCTGAAATCAATTAAGTTAAAAGGTCAAATCAATTACGAAGTTGAAGAGCAGCCAGACTCAAAATTCAACCAGTCAATCACAATGACCTTATTTCAAAAGCAAATACTACTTTAAATGCATTCTTTTAAGCAGGTTATATATTGTTGTAGATCACCTTAAAACTTAATTAAACTAATAAATTAAGAGTTATTGAAGCATGAAATGAAGCTCATATTGAATTACTCAATTTGAATATTTTACCACAATCCATCCTCCTTTTATAAGAAAGTGACCTACCAAATCAGACTTATCACTGGGTATGTACTTACATGAGCAACATGAAAGGTGCCATATGTGGAGCAGGATCTGCTTGCCCTATAGAAGCACCGGCAATCACCATCTTATTTTAGTTGGGTTTTATGTTTTGTATACCGTTGTTTGTATTTTGGTCTTTTTTGCCATGGCGTTGTCAAGTTTATTTTTTCGACTTCGAGTTTTAATGTTACATTGGTATCTTTTGCCTCTCTTTTACACTATTCGTAATGTTCAAGTATTGTTCTACAACTGTGTAAAGTTTCATCATCATCAACATTCCTTATGCTCACCAGATGAAGTTATGTTTACCATGCACATCAATACACAGACAGACAGAGAACAGAAGAATGATTGCTATACATACAAAAAAAATAAAAATATTTTTGAAAGGGTATCATTTTTAAGAAAACATATATTTCTAAAGATAGCATATACAAATATATATGTATTTATGCAAACAGAGCTATAAATCTAGTAGCATGTGCCTTCTATTCATGTGGACCAATTTGAAAACAGGCCCAAAAATAAAAAATCTAAATACATGCATGGTTAGATTCAGCATATCAAAAAACACCAATAATTCATTTTTTGAAAAAATCAAACAAAATTTAATTTTTGACCCTTTGAACCTTAATATGAATCAATTAAAAAACAGACTCAAAATCCAAATAATAAATACCCAATTAAAATCAGCATATTAAAGAACCCCAAGAATTCAATACTTTGATAAAACCCCATAGAAATTGCTAAAGAAATGAGCAATTTATACAAAGTATACAAAGTATAACAAAACAATTATTTTTGTTTCCTTTTATCTAAACTGTTATGGTCATAAGCCCTAAAACAAGTGAAAGTGTGAGCTACTGCTCACTGATGATACCCCCTCCCAAATATTTTGGTAAACAGGAAGTTGTTGAGTGATGAATCTGAAAACACATCACACAGTGTAGCCGACTTATGTAAACCCTGAAACCAAATTTCAGAAATCCTTGTATTGTAGTTCCTGAGAAAAATGTAACGAAAATTTTCAACTTGACTATCATGTGTAAAATGATACAAGTGTTCAGTAAACAGGAAGTTCTTGATTAATTAATATGAAAAGGCATCACACGGTATAGCTGACTCATATAAACCCTGAAACCAAATTTCAGAAATCCTTGTATTGTAATTCCTGAGAAAAATATGACGAAAATTTTCAACTTGACTATCATGTGTAAAATGATACAAGTGTTCAGTAAACAGGAAGTTGTTGAGTGATGAATCTGAAAACGCATCACAAGGTATAGCTAACTTATATAAACCCTGAAACCAAATTTCAGAAATCCTTATGATGTAGTTCCTGAGAAAGATGTGACGAAAAATATTCATGGGACGGACAGACAGACGGACGGATGGATGGACTGACAGATGGACGGACAGACAGAGGTAAAACAGTGTACCCCCACTTTTTTAAAGTGGAGGTATAATTAATCCCCAACTTTATTTTATGGTATAACACCTTGTGGCACAATTAAATAGCAATAAATATACTTACACTCTAGTTATTGTCCAGAAACCATAAAATCCTAGTATCTGGC